TGATTTACAGTTCAACACATAAGACAACACAAACTATAAGTACTGTCAAAGATTTTATTTTTATTTTTAAATATATCCATGAATGACTCAAAATTTCCATTCCATTTACAGTTGTACGCTACATTATTTTCTGAATACGATCTATTATACCACGTGCCATTCGGAACAGAGAAAGACAATAAACACAGTGTTAATTTCATTTCAAACAACTATGGTTATTTCTGGCTTGTACCCTTTGAAAAGACATTTCAAATATGCAAACATGATTTTCATTGTATTCGTTGAACCCATTGTGGTGATGAGCAATGCATTAGAAACTATGTAAATGTTTAGTGCATCCACGTCATGTGACATTGATTGACAACAGTTAATTATTCAAGCTTAGCAGCTTTAGCGGTTCATGTGTTTTAGCATTGTTCGATAGAACCAAACTTTTTTACATTATTTATTGTCATAAATACAACATTGAATCACTGCTGTGATATTCATAGTCACATACATCTACTTTGGTATAACATAATTGATGTATAAATTGCAGTAAACACGATAACACAGAAGCTGGGCTGGAGCTGTTTTCCAGCGAGACTTGCAAGAAGATACTAGTAATCTCTATTCCTTAGAAGCATATAGAACAGAAATGTGTTTCTACCGTATTGGGTCTTGCAAAGGATTAGAGATAGAAATTAACAATAGAGGGCAACTGCAAACCTCTCTCGTTCTCATGCATGTTTTTCCCACTGTGATATGGAAAATAATAAAATATAAATTAGAATGAATGAGTGGAAGTCAGATACACTTTCCTACCTAAGATTTTTACAGACAGACGACAGCTTGGAACCCAAAACAATCTTCCCAATGATATTAATTGAAAGTCCAACAATATAACCATTCAAAAAACGTTGCTTGAAAACATGAGAAGTTTACAGTTGCTAATAGCACATATAATCCTTTGCAAAATCCAACATGATAGAAACACATTTCTGCCATATACTCTACTTGGGCCTTCACATTTTAGCACTATAAAAGTTTGAGTGTTTGAGAGAAAGTCATTGTGACTCTCTAGAGTCCAAGGTAAAGCCACTGTGACTCCTTAGGACCCCAGTGTAAATCACTGTGAATACCTAGGATCCCAGTGAAGATCACAGTGAATAGTTGTTTTACAGATCTCAGTATTTTTTGGATTTCCTACGATGTGTAAAATTCACAAAACTTTAATTGAAACAGTTTACAGTACGTTTGTGTAAATAACATCTTCAATAACATGTATATGAGTTACATATTGAAATTACCCATGGTTAGATAAGATCAGAATCAATCATGTTCAGTTATAATAGGATTAAAAGCAGAAGTGTTGACTTTCCGATCATGCTAATATCGTGTTATGTGCGAGTCAAAGTCAAATAAATCGCATGTCAACAGTGATTTTAGTGATATATGTAATTTGCATGTAATTGAAATTAGAATTTACCATCTTGTGTGTTGAATTTCAGTTATAATAAATAAGCTAAAATATGAATAAAAATGATCATAATCAATTTCAATTCAATAAGAACAAAAACTTGATTTCATGCCCTAAAAGGATGACTAGATTTCTCATTGAAACACGATTTTAAAAGCTATGTTTGATTGTTATTTATAAAAACATGAAAGAAGCACTAAGTATCAGATAAAGTTAAACATATTAATTTAATAGGGAATGTGACGCTTGCTACCCAAATGTCCAAAATCATTTATTGGTATGTGGATGGTATTATCATAGTTTATATTTCTGAGCATAACATAAATACATTTTATTAAAACAAATATTATTGATCTGTACTTTGAGGATCCTCATTTGCATGCAAGTATACCCCGTATGCCAGAGGGCATTGCTGCACAACGCAGGTAAATAATTCACCAGATTCGACCCAAAGGAATACACATTACTTCATTACAGATAATCCAGCTTTATTCGTCCAAACGGCCAGCTGAGGTAACTGTCCACTTTTCTTGTTCTCTTCTTGTTACCGAAAAAAATACAAACTCTCTATCTTACAAATCTCTAAAGCATGGTAGAGTAAACATGTGATCAGCCAATCGCTGCAGTCGTTGGCGCGATCACGTGATTACAGGGGATGTATCACACGGTTAAAGCTTTGCTAAGTCGCCACTAGTAAATACAATTAGTAAACAATCTATTTATGAAATAACAAAACAGCCAACAAAATCCTGATTGCCATTACCATACCATGCCATTAATTCATACATTTGTAAAAAGGAATAATTTAGAAGTACGCGTTTTACTGCATTCAAAGCATGGCATTTGTATGACTTCCTCTCTTTGTTTGAAGTTTGGTGGCAGTTTTTTTTTTTTGTTTTTTTTTTTTTTTTTATTTTAATATTTAGGAATTTACATATCTGTGGATAAAGAAGTTATGCTTATATTCCTGTGTAGCTCAAAGTTTTTTTCAAAGTGACATTTCTCAAAACTTTCACACTGATATACTCTTTTCATGTATGTTAGAATACCCTTGAAATTGGGTTTTGTGGCATTCATTTTACTGTGGTAAATATGTTTCCTAACTAACAGGCTAATAACATTTATTGTCAGCGATTCGCCTGGATCTGATATTATTAAGCACATTCTGCTCGGTGGTGAATTTTGTTTTAATATTTCCCCCAACTTAAAAGTAGGTCTTTCCAAAGTGCAACCACATATTCACATTCATAGAAGATATGTTCCAAGGTTTCTGGATTCTCCTGACAAAATATGCACATCTGTTTCTAGGTTTATTTTATGAAGTTTGTCATTTGTATATAGAATGTTATGTAAACGCTAAAACTGAAATTCACGTGTTTTGCTGTTGATACTCATTTTTATCATTTTTTTTATACATTTTACTTAATTCTATTAGGCCCAGTTTCAGCACCTCTTCAAGTTTCTTTTGACTCAGATCACTGGAGGGATGAATCTCCTATCTATTAATTCCTTTTTATATAGGGTTTTGCAATCCCTCCAAGTGGTGTTGGGATTCCAGACACTGATAAGCTTATCTCATCTATGTCAGTGTTTTTGTATATTCGATTTTCAGGGAAAGCCAATCCATTTTAGTTTATGTAATAGAGACTATTCATTTTATAAGAACATTCTCGTTAAACAAGTCTGAAACTCGTTAATTCCGTTTTCAGCCAATGCTCTATAAAAAAAAGTAGGTTTCCCGGCTATTTTTATATTTTCGTTATTCCAAATTATTTGTTTTGTGTTTCTGTAACTCATTTTAGTTTCAGCTTCCCAAATTTAAGTTTTGTTTTATAATTACATTGGAAGATGATACTACCTACTGCTTATAAACAGTTTATAAGGATGTTCATAATGTGTATCCATATATCTTTTAATCCACAGTAGCCTATGTTGCCTTTTGAGGATATTCATGTCTGGAATACCTAAACCGCCCTGGCCCACACACCCTATCATAGCTGTACGTGCATTTCTGTCTTTTCCTTCCCATATAAAATTATACACAGTATTTTGAGCCTCTTGAATAAATTCATTCCAAACTGCAGTATTACTCATAATATAAGTGAACTGGGATATACCAAAAGTTTTAATAATTTGGACTTTGCCAAAAAGAGAAATTGTCCTGCTCCTCCAAGAGTTCAAAATAATTGTCATATTGTCCATATCTTTTTTAACATCTATTTTCCTTTTGGTTGTGAGAAAAGTAAATTGCTGCAATTTTGATAGGAGATGTGGGCCATTTAACCCCGAACAGTTTATCTTGTCTGTCTTTGTGTCTATGTTAATTCTCCGCCCTGAGCATTTCTCAAAATCCCCCAACATGTTAAATAGCACCTCAGCAGATTTTCTGTTTGAAATGAAGCATGACATGTTATCCGCAAATGCTGCTTCTTTAATTTCTTTTCCGGATATGATAATACCTTTCATTTCTTGTTTTAAACAGAAGGGTTTCTAAAACTAAAATGAAGAGCCTCGGAGGGTCTTCTTGTCGGACTCCCCTTTGCCATCCAAAGTACCCCGTACTATATCCGTTATTCGTCACGCAACATACAATGTTTGTATACAATGATTTCACCCACTTTTGAAATTGAAGACCGAATTGAAATTTCTCTAATGCCCTATCAAGATACTCCCAACTGACCGTATCAAAGACCTTTTCAAAATCTACTGCTATTAGCAGGGCCTCCTTACCAGTTTGTTCTATGTAGTAATACACCTCACTAATTAATCTTGCATAATCACTAATATTGCGGCCTTTAACAAAAGCTGCCTGGGTTTCACCAATTAATTCAACGAGAACAGATTCCAAACGCTTCACAAGTCATTTGGATGCCAATTTTGCATCCACATTCATTAGTGAAATTGGCCTCCTGTTTTTCAATAAACGTTTATCTCGTCCAGGTTTTTCTATTAGTGTAATGATACTTTGTTTCTGAGAGGTAAATAATTCTCCCTGCTCAAAGGCCAAATTTAATGAGTTTACAACTTGATTTCTTACCAGTGGCCAATATGCCTTATAAAACTCAACCGTTAAGCCATCGTTTCCTGGGCTTTTATTTTCTTTCATTGACGTTAATGTATCAACAATTTCCCTTGAGATTAGAAGTCCCTCACATGCCCGTGAACTTTCTGCCAGCACTGGAATTGCGGTATTATTAAGAAATTTAATGGCCTCTGTCGAATCCTTATTTGAGTAAAGCCTGGAGTAAAAGGATGTTATTTCTGTTAAAATTTTATTTGGTTGTTCTATAGTTTTGTCCCCTTCTACTTTTAATTGTTTGATGCAGGATTTCTTTTTGTTTTAGTTTTTTTCTAAATTCAGAAAATATTTGTAGTTTTTTTGTGTGTTTTTTTTCGTACCACCTAGCCCGTGATCTTATTATAGCACCTTCTACCTTATAATTATCATGCTCTTCTAGTTTCCTTTTCAATTATTTTATATTGCTATAATTTTCTTCATTTTGAGCTGTCACTACACCTTTGTTGAGTATCTTTAAGCTGTTTTTCCAAGTTTTCAATTTCCTGTTTACAATTTCTTGCTTTTCCTTTAGTGTAATCAATTGTAAGTTGTTTAATCTGGTATTTAATTAAATCCCATAAATGACTTCTATCTATATCTTTAAATTCTTCCTGCCAGTTTTTAATCTTTTCCTTTAATAGGTTCCCATGATACTCTTTATCTTTGGTTAGAGTGGAGTTGAACCTCCACTGAGCAGGACTGGACTGTGTTTCTGACAAGATTTTTTTAAATGCAGCCAAACAGCGGAGTGATCTAAAGCCAATTCTGTTATAATTTCAACTTTTTTAACAATATTTTGCAAAACATCTCAGATTATTAGGTAGTCCAGTCTGCTTTGTTGAATGGTAGGTAGTTTTGTACGCCAAGTAAACTGCTTTTTTTCTCATTTCTTATTCGCCAAATGTCAAATAAGCTAAATTGTTCAGTGTTATCCTAAAAAATGTCTACCGATTTAGTCCAGGTTTGGGGGTTCCCTTGGATCTAGAATCATATTGGTTAATCTAATTTTTAATTTAGTTAAAAATTTGGCATGTGGTGATTTTCTATTGGGTTTAG